TGCTACAGTACCTTTTCCTTCTTATTTCTTCCCTCTTTTGGCGGTGCCTAATTTGTTTGGGTAGCCGAATCAGCCCGAAGCGTTCATCACGGCATCGCGGCACTCCTACGCCATCACTCGAGTCTGTCTGAGACATACATCTTTAGCTTGATTGCATTGACGTGTACCTGAAAGCATATCTCGCACCTGCATGAAATCGTCCGGATAAGCCTTGTGACCTGCGGTTCTCCAGCCAACCCCATTTCTCCCGCCTACTCCATAAACTTTGTCCAACGGCGCTGGGCTGCGAGGAGGTTGAGTCCCCCCCCACTGGCACTTGGACCCCTTCTCCCGCCAAAGGAGATAAGATTCTCGGCCTCGGTACCGACGTTGGGATTTGGACAGGGACAAGGCCCCAATCTCACAACCGTTCCCGGGGGTTTGGTTTCCCCTTGTCCATTCATTTCCGATCTCGACAGGGTATTCGGAGCTGGAACCTTCATATGCCGGTACAGACGGAGCTAGTTGCCCAAGTTAAACGCGGGCCCGACCGTGAGCTAAGACGGAGAATAAATGATCAATGCACGGACAGAAGACCTGGGCATATCCCCTTGATCAAGTAAAGCTTGGAATGCAGGATTGCATTAAAGTTGATGCATCAGGTGGGTGTGGATGATCCCCGCGTCAGTGGAGGGTGTCATCTCGCGAACATGAACAGCCCGCAGCCTCGTAGGGCCAGATGGCAAAAAAGCCCAGTTTCAGGTTGACCCAAATCAGGGTATGATGCCGCAGTTGGGACGGAAAGGTCCGAAACACCAGGCTTACTGTGGTCAGCGGAACACCCACGGAATGCAAAGGACCAGGATGGACCAACAACTTCTTACTGCTTCTCGGCTGCCGTGCACTGGGGTCGGCTTCTATTGACTATTCGGTAGCTATCGAACAATTCTTTGTTCTTTCGGGACATACAATACTACTCCATGACCCCCTGAGTGCAGCCCAAATTCCCATCACACATCTCACCCCGGCGCCCCTGTAAGCGCTCGGCGTTATTGCAGCCGCAGATCCCCCCCTCCACGGCCGATACTCACCTAACACGTCGGGCGTAGGATTGGATTTGGTGTGGACCGTTGAGCGGGCGGAACCGCACCGCGAAGCAGAGACAAGGCCGACTCGTTCAAGCCCCAATCCCCTTCCCACTGAGCCATGCGCATCCCGTTCTTGAAGTGGTCTGCGATGTGCGAGGCTCGCTCAGTCCAGTCCGACATGACGCACCCGCAGAACCCGCACCGGCTCTCGACGCTGCCCTCTGAGAACTGCCACTTGTCCAGGTCTGCCGGCGGGCCCTTGGTCCATCCGTGATACTTGCGTAGATGCTGCCAAAGATGGTCTTTCCGAGTGAACAGCCGCTCTGAAGACGGCTTCGTTGCGCAGACGTGAAACTCGTGTTCCTCCCAGTGGTCTGGTCGGGGGCTTCTCGTGTCGCAGAAGCCACAATCTAGGCTCGCGGCCATGCGTTGCTGAAGACTGTCCAAGTCGGGCGTGCATATCCATGAATCTTGGGGGAGGTGTATCGTTTTCTCATGGCGCACCCAGTCGTGCTTTTTTTTGAAAGATTTAATACAGAATGTGCATTGGAACCTAAGGATCCCTCCTTCTTTGTCTCGTCTGTCATGCTTTAGTTCGGCACGGCGTCGGCGTCTGGTCGAAGCAATTGGGTGTGCAAAGTTCCCGTCTCTGGATGACTGACAGCTCCAGACGGACGAGGAGCTTGCTGAGGTTATGTGCGACCCGCTGTCGAAGCTCGAGACGGAGTGGTGACGAGAGACAACATCATCCGCAGTGAACTTATCCCTGGGCGAGATATTATCCGTGAATGAATCATCGTTGAAGAAACTATCATCCTTCAAAGACCCGAGAGCATCGCGAATGACGGATTCGGGGATCGGCTCCGCATCCGGCGGCGAAGCTTGCCACCTCTCGAAAGGTGTGAGGCCGAGCGCGGTACTGGATGCCTCGGAGTCTTTGTCAAAGGGACGAGGAGATTTGGCTCGGATGATGGGCTGTGTGCGCTGCTTTTGCCGTCGTCGAGCATTTGAGAACCATGTTGATATCCGCTTCTGCGAGAAGCCCGTTTCTTGTTCAAGAGCGATCCTTTCCATTTCAGACGGATAAGGGTGGTCCTCGTTCCGTTCAAACCATTCTTTCAATATTCTGGCTCCCTTTCTGACAAAGTGTTTTGCGCTCCTCTGTCCATCCTCTTCCGGGATTGGTTGTTCTGGCTGCGGTTGCTGCCTCTCCTATCAAGCGGCTGCGTTAGCATCTATCATAACTGGGAAGAGAGATCGACATACCCCGGACTCCTCTTGCTCTGGCACACCATGTAGCTGTTTGTACACCGGTAACTGCGTCTCAAAGACAGAGGGAGGGCGTTTCTGCCCCTTGGCCAAACTACACTCTCGGTACAACGCAACGCACGTGGTGCAGGATCTGAGAGGGTTTGGGTTCACGGCGGACTTTTGAAGGATAATACACTGTAGCCGCTTACTCTTGCAGTGGTTGCAGGGATGAGGTGGCTGCTCTGCGCCCTCTAGCCATTGCCAGACGTCCGTGAAACCGTGCTGCGTCTGCGAAGAGGGACCGGCGACCTCGGGCAGTGGAGGGTGTTCGTCCAGTGCAAAGTCAGTAGAGTTTCCCTCATGGTAAGACCATGGTTGGTCTGCATCAAGAAACGTTGAACTAAAGGTCGCCTGCGGTGTGTCGAAGGTGAAGAGGCTCTGTGGTCCTAACCCGATCGCCTCCAGATGATCTAACCGCACATCGCCAAATGGATCCGAATCAAAAGCTAGGCTGTCGAGGAGGCAATCATCCTCCGTACTATTACCGTAGAACTGCTCCGTGAGGTACAAGTCGCCTTGACTTTGATCTTGCGGGTTGGGGGGATCCATCTCGCACGCACAAAAAACACGCTCTGATATTGGATCGAGTCCTGCTAGCAACCAGTCCCGTTCTGGGTTGTGCGGGGGAGGGGCACGAGATCTGACGATTCCATGGCACGGAGGCTGACGATGACTTGGCTTCAGGGTGCATAAATGGAAATCAAATATCCGGGATGTGATTTGCTGAGAATTGACCACCGAATGGCCGAAGAGGGGGAGGGAGGTCACGTGCTCCGTGACCGGTGCCATCGTTGGTCAGAGTTTAGATGCAGTGCCAGTCAGCGAGCCTATGTTAGAAGGTGAACGGTTTGATGCGAATATGGCTTCAAAGCATCCCAGTCGATGCCGAATAAGATTGAACGCCACTGAAGTGTAGATCTATCAAGATTCAGGAAGTCAATTCCTTGATAGGTGGCATTCTTGGAGTATCTCAGTGTTGTTAGAGGGCGCACTCATGTTAAGGCGACTATCTAGAGCGTTTACGTGGGTGGAGAGTAAGTGGACCTGGATTTAAGCCTACTCCGTTCCCATATCTTCACAGCCAATCAAGATGATCGTTTCTATCACCGCGCCCTCCAGAGACACTCGTCACGATGAAGTTGCGCCTTTTCAGAACAACTCAAGAGAACATATAAGGGCGCTAAACGATACGTCTATCACTGGTCATACTTTTGAGCCGAAAAAAAAAACGTTCATCACATAACGTCTAAAATGGCACCCTCAGCTACCCGCACAGAAGTCTCCGGCCTCGGAGCCAAGGCAAAGTCGCAACACGAGCCTACCCCTTGCGAGGCTATCTCTCATGGCGACCTTCTGCCAGGTGTGTTCAAGTGTGGGTTGAACCCCAAGATGACTTAAATCTAATTGATGTTTAGGTATCCCCAAGTTCCCCTCATTTGCCGAGGAGAGGAGGCATATGCTGGTTCATATGGCTGCCACATTCCGATACTGGTCTCGCCACAACTTTACCGAGGGCCAGTCCGGGCATATTTCCATTCGAGACCCCGAATTCCCAAACTTGATGTGGATGAACCCCCTGAGCCGCCACTTCGGCACGCTCACCGCTGGAGATATGCTCCTCATTGACATGGGCTCTGGCAAGATCGTCGCCGGACGTCCAAACCCGGCCACAAATGGCCGCACAGCCAACCGCGCAGGATTCTTCATCCACACGGCTGTCCACAGAGCTCGTCCCGATGTCCACGCCATCTGCCATGCGCACACCATCTCCGGAAGGGCCTGGTCGGCGTTCGCCAAGCCCCTCGACATGATCACCCAGGATGTCTGCAATTTCTACAAGACCCACGCCGTCTATGGGAATTACGGAGGTATCGTTTTCGGCGGCGACGAGGGAGAGAGAATCGCGGCTGCGCTGGGGACAGATAACAAAGCTGCCATCCTCATGAGTCATGGTCTCATCACGGTTGGCCAGACTGTGGACGAGGCCGGATTCCTGTTCAGCTTGCTGGACAGGTCTTGTGCCATCCAGTTGCAGGTTGAGGCGGCCTGTGCTAATGGCCATATGAAGAAGGAGATTATCAGTGATGAGGAGGCGGCCGAGAACTATAAGATGGCCAGCGAGGCAAATGTTCTGTACAGGGAAGCTCAACCGGACGTGGAGTTTGAGATTGCGGCTGCTGGTGGTGAGCATGTGCTTGCAGAAGGGTTCGATGATCTGAAGATAGTCCAATAATGATCTTTTGTTGAGCATTTAGAGTTTTGAATTTATATGAAACTAGAAACCGATGGTATTCAAATTAATTTCGTGCCAACTCGAGTCGATCGAGAAGAAGAAGAATGCTAACCAGTAATACTTTAATAAGCAACAACTAGCACGAGTATGGCTTAGAGGTTAAAGGTAAAGATAGTAGATGATATAGGCACCTGGCCTATTAGCTTTAAATTATGAGATTGTCAGATGACAGCATGTCAAATGACGTCCAACTACATATACAAATAAATCCATAGCCATTCATGGCTGTTAACTAATGGCTCTCTTCTATTGAAAGCCAGCCTTCCTAAGCGATTATCCTCATTTTTAAGTGATGTGTTGCGTGTGAATGGGCAGAGTGCCAGCGTCGCTTAGTGAGATGACCATTTCCAGGTGAATCCGTTCCGCCGGTGGTAAGACCGATCAATGAACTTGCCACGAAAAAGCTTGTATGACCACTTGCGCCACGAAGGCCACATAGGCCATGTCCAATGTGATGAGTGGTCATCAGAAGGGAAGCCCGGAATACCAGTCGAAGTCGGGGCGCTGGCATCGGCAGTTGTGGTTGTGGTTATGGTTGTGAAAGCCGCGTCAGTAGTCGTGCTTGGTAGATTCGGAACAGAGCTTGAAGTAGGGAGGCTTGCTGCAGAGGTCGTGGTTGAGGATGGGGAGGCGCTGCTAGAGTCGTCCTCCTTGTTGACTTTGATGCTTTGCCACTTCCCGGTCTTATCTCCATAAACATACTCCTTAACGTTGTCTGTCGTGGCAGAGTCGCCGCCGGCATAGTCAACAATCTTCAGAGACTTGTAGTAAGCATTGAAGGGAGCTTGGGAAAAGTCGGCAAGGCCGCCTGCCCAATCGATGGTTCCCTGGCCATTGCCCTCCTTTCCAGCAACCCAAGTACCGAGCTTGACTTGCGAAGGGGTCTGGGGGAATCCCGAGCCGCCATTGGCATCTTCGTACTTGAGGGTCTTCACCACTTTGTTGTCAATGATCCAATCGATCTTTTTCGAGGTCCACTCGATGACATATGAATGGAAGGAAGCCATGGGGAGAGAGAGTGGGTAGATCCCCTGGCAGTTGAAAGTACTCGATCCTTTGCTGAAGCAGTTCGACTGGACCCTTGTGGCATCGCCACCTACCCACTCCCAGTCAATCTCGTCAAGGTCCGCTGAGAGCAAGACCACAGAGGTCACGACGCCCCTTCCGGGTGTAGCCTGAGCGACTACCTCGATGCGACCAAAGAAGATGTAGTCATCGGTAGCAACAGTAGGCGCCTGGCTAGGATCCGTGATGGAGAACAGAGCACCCTTGTCGGCGGTATAAGTAAGGTTAGTACCATCAGCTAACTGAATACCCTCACAGGCGCCCTGGGTGAAGTCACAGTTCAGTCCCTTGCTTCCCAAGGCAGGTGCTGCTGGGCAGTCTGTATAAAGAGCATGTTAGACAGTTCATCCTGAATGGGTTGTGAAACGAATGATGCTCTCAATAATTCGTACCTTGCTTTGTCGGGTCACAGTCGGTAAATGTTTGAGCTGAAGCCAGAGAGGCAGCAGCCAGCGCTGATAGAAGCGTTGAGCGGATCATCTTGCTGAATGCGTACCCTTGCCGGTTTATAATTGAGAATAGCAATTAAGGGGATTAAATGAGAATATATCGAAATGGCAACAAAGCAGGCCTAAAGATGGTGATCTAAGCGAACGTGAAAAATAAACGAAGGACAGTTTGACCTGCAACCACACAGAGCAAGATGGCTACCGAGCTGCGTTGAAGACCTGGTACGGGAAGACTTATTTATTAAAGGAAGAATCCCCTGATAACTCGGAGCATTGACTCCCGGCAAAGATAAATTAACGTACCGAGTGATGAGATGCACATCAACAGGGCTGATGTGGGACAGGAGCAAGCTTTGCCGCATTGATTGTCCTGAGACGCAGGCGCAAAACCCAGGGCGACTCCTTTGGGATGGCCTCATGCTTGGTGCGTTTCAAATGGGGCCTCTGCCACTCGTATTGCAATTGACTCGGTTCGTATTACCAGCCATCTTGGCATGGGATCAGCTCCTCAAATTTCCCTGCACGCAAGCCAGTGCTGATCCCCAATCACATCCCTCCAAGTTCACGGTCTTGGTGGTTGAATGCCAACAAGGGAGCATGATCCATGAAGAGGGTCTTTCACACTTGCGCTTTGACCAGACGGGCCACCATGTTTTGGTCAAAGCCATGAAGCGATCCATCAATATGCCGAGAATTAAGTGTTGATGTGATTTCTTGGGTAGATGAATGCTGTTTATTGGTCAAGAATCCCCTCCGCAACTTTACTTTACCTACGTTTTATTCTGCCGCATCTCGCTGAACTCAGCCTTCTGCCACGATTCTGCGCCAAGTCTCATGTTTGCCAAGGGGCTAACCTTCCGAAACCGCTAAAGATGAAGCTAATCTGCAGCTTTGCGGATCGTTAAACGGCAGCCGTCCACGATTCATGATTCATGAACATGCATGAATAAGATGCATGTGTAACAATGCGCGATGAGGGAGAAAATGAGCGGTTTCTTAGTAAACTACCATCTAAATCTCTATCGTAATGATGTATCAAGTCTAGAATTGACTCCCTGCTACTTAGAGCTTCCCAAAAAGTATCGTTAGCCATGTCGAGCGTTATTCAAAGGAATATTCTTCTTTGGTCGGAGAAACTCCAGCACTCGGGCACATCGGGCACTTCGGGCTTCGCAAATAACTAGAGCTTTGCCTTCACGGCTCCTTTGGGTGTCTGCCCTGGTAACATTCGCCTCATCACCTTGCCACTCGCTGTCCTGGGAATCGCATCCAGGAATTCAACCCCGGCCGTGAGCCATTTGTGCTTTGACAGACGGTCTTCGATGAACTTCTGTATCTCGGTTTCGGTTGGAGGATGCTCTGGATTTTGAGCTACCACGAAAGCTTTTGGATATTCTCCATCTCGTCTAGATGGCGAACTTATTAGCGTCATGGGCTCCGAGGGGATCTGCAATGGCATCCAGTATCAGATATGTCATGTTACTCACCGCCGCTCTCCAACCACTGCCGCATCTCGAATGCCCGTGTGTGTCAGTAGTGTTTGTTCAATCTCTGCCGGCGCAACCTGCAATCCCTTGACTTTGATGAGTTCCTAGAACTTGTGTGTCAGCTACTGGAACATATCCACATCTTTAGAGAAACTCCCACTTGCCTTCATACGATCGACGATATAAAGTTTGCCCCCGTCATCAATGTAGCCTATATCACCAGTCCTAAGCCATCTCTCCCCATCTTCTAGAACAATCGTTGACGCTGTTTGCTCCGGTCGGTTGTAATAGCCCATCATAATATTCGGCCCCGCCAACCAAATCTCACCAATCGTGTACGGAATGCTTCCATCGCTTTCGAACCCAAAATCTGGCTGCGGGACGATCTTGGCACTCATGTTTGGGTTCAAGTTGCCGACTGATCGTCCGTCGTCTCTATCGTCCGGCGCGAAACCGGTCGCCGAGGACGCGTTCTCCGTCAGACCCCAGCCTTGCTTTACCTGGACTCCAGGGCGCAGATAAATCTCTTCGACGAGTTTGCCGATGTCTGCGTTGAGAGGCGCAGAGCCAGTCGTGACGGCTTCTATGGCCTTGAGATTGTAAGAAGATGCTCGAGGATGTTTGGCGAGTGAAACCATCAGCGTGGGAACGCTGGCAAGGAAGGTAATTCGATAGATGTCCAGATACAGCAAGTACTTCTCCAAATCGTACTTAGGCATTATAAATACCTTTGCGCCGATTATAGCAGCCGTCGTACAGTAATAAGATTGTCCCTGTGCATAGGTGGTTAATAATGTTGATCCCCAACTTCAATCTTTCTCCGTCCATTGTCCATTGAACTAACATATGCATGAAACATAGGCAATGGCGCCAACCACCTTTCGCCAGAAACATCGATTCTCTGCTTTCGTTCTCTTCCAGACGCCGAGTTCCCAACCAGAGTGCGTTTGAATGCCACTTGTGCGGCATTTGCGACCATGTTGTAATGCGATATCTCCACCCCCTTCGGCAGACCCGTTGTGCTATAAGTTAGTGTGTTAGCATTTATCATGAATATGTTTCCTCTTTATGGTGGTATCCTACCCGCTGGAGTAATTGATGACTGCGGTTGCGGATTGCGCCTGCTCCTTGGTTCTAAGCCGCCGCCAATCCCAGTGCTTGACTTCCGCCTCGGACGGCCACAAACTGACCCAGGTTCTTGTATTGTACGAGCTCATGTCGCCCAACGGTGAAAAGACAACGACTTTCGAGCGGGGAAGCCCAGCCTTGTCTGCTGCCCGAAATGCGGTGCTCAATAGTGCAGGGTCTGCCAGTAGAAGCACACTATCGGAATCAACCATTTGGTTTGCCAACTCTAGCCGGTCAAGTATTAGTAACCATCAAATTGCTTCATCTTGAGTTAGTGCCATACCATCAACAGAGCTCCCTGGTGAGCATCCCGTGAAGACGCAGCCCGAGGCAAGGACCCCCCAGAGCATAATGGGGAAATAAACCGAGTTTCCCGAGAAGAGCATGATCTTGTCGTTTGGCTTTAAGCCAAAATCTTGAATTCCTTTGGCCCATCGTTTGACCCAGATCTCAGCCTGTTCCAGGCTGAAATTGACGGAAGGGTTGTCCGCATCGAAATATTGCGGCTCCTTGCGATGTTTGACCGAATTGGAAAATATGTACGTGGGCAGGTCGACACAAGGTACGTGCACGTTATGCGAAGCACGTTGGATGCGAGTGCTGGACATGGTTTCTCGGATATATTCTATCAAGACTTCCAATGCTTTCCGGTTAGTAGTGGCAAAGCTATGATTCAAAGAGGAGGTATAGGCGTTTTTGAGCAGTCATAAAACGAGGATACATTTGGGCCGCGGTAAATTTTGACCGCCACTATTGATTGGCGATCCTCAGTGAGGAGGAGGGTGCCATTGATCACGTTGCAGTGCGGAGAAGCGCCAGGGGTGTGGCTTATGACGGCAACAATGCTTCCCCAGGTTTGAAGGAGGCATCGGAATAGGATTACCGATACACCGACCCTGTACCTTTCAACCAGCAGTGTCGCGTCTTCAAATATGCCCATCCAAAGTGCGAAAGGAATTAGCTAAGAGTTGTCGTTGACTAGAGTCTTGGGGGCAACCCGGACGGAACATCCCTGCCCTCGTGGTCGAACTTGTTGTGGTATTCCACTGAAGGCAACTTTAAACAACTTTGCTAAACAATCATTCTCATACAATCGAGTTCTGAATAATTGGTACACTGTGAGGCCCCTGCAACCAAGATTGTCTTGAGTGGGTGGAGCCCAAAGCAGAGACGCCTTTATGAGTTAAACCGGCTATATACAGTTCGGCGAATTGGCCTTTCCGGACTAAAACAAACATCACAATTGGCTCAAGGTCTATAATCATTTCGCTCAGAAAACGGAAGCGATGATTTTTCAATTCAGGAGGGAAAAGAGGGGAAAACTCCAGCCGAGCTTATCTACAAGATCATACTTCCTCAGCTTCAGAAATGTGTTGCTTCTCCTCGCGAGCCAGAGTCTCCGCAACACCAGCCAATCGCCTCTCCTCGACCAGAATGTCCGTCTTGGAGCGCCAGGTGTATCCAGGACCCTGCTGCGAGAACAGGATATCCATGTCCTCGAGCGACAACCCCTTTGTCTCCGGCACAAGGATGAAGACGAAAACGACACCGAAGAGAACAGCGGAGCCAAAGAGGAAAAAGGTGCCGTAGGTGATGTTGGTCATCATGTACGGAGTGGAGTAGACAATTATAAACTGGCCCAGCCATTGGGCACATGTCGTGAAGAGGAGACAGGTGGAGCGGATGGCCATTGGGAACACTTCGGCGCTATTTGGAAAAATTATTAGCTTCAAGTTGATTTATGACTGTATTGCCACTTGTTTTTTCATGACCAACTCACCAGAAGATCCAGGGGATTCCATTCCACGACATGGCGTAGAAGACGGCAAAGGTGTAGATCATCACGATGGCCACGTAGGCGCCCGCATCCTTGCTCTCCTTGGGCGCCGCCGAGAACGAACGGGAGAGCTTCGTGTACGCGCCCAGGTAGTACAGGGCAACCATGGCTCCCACGGACCCAATGAGCAGAGCCCTGCGGCGGCCGAGCCGGTCAATGCCCCAGACCATGAAGACGGCGGTGGCACCAGCCTTGACGATTCCGAAGATCCCTGTAGCCAGCAGGCCGATATCGGTGCCGCTGAAACCAATTGCCTGAAAAATTGACGGCGAGTAGTAATTGAGCGCATTAATGCCGGACATGTTCTGGATGAACATGAGGGTGACGCCGAGGATGAGGCGGATGCGGTTGGCAGGCAGGGCGATCTCGCGAAGCTTGCCCAGGAAGCTCTTCTTGGCCCCCATGGCGTTTTCCTCCTCAATCTGGTGGAGGACGGTGTTGATCTCCCAGTTCAGGTAGTCGTCGTCGTCGTCGGGGAGCTGGCGCAGCCTCTGCAGGACTTCACGCGCCTCTTGGACCCTGTCTGCATTGAGCAGCCATCGGGGGGATTCCGGCTGGAAGAACATGCAGATGGTAAGG